AGGTCGCCGAGAAGGGGCTTGGAGTAGAGCCACTACTCCTCCACATCAAAATGAGCCAGTTGAGGTGGTTCATCTGACCACGATCCCTCCTGGATGCCTCCTACAGGAGGTATTTGGGACATGTTCTACTGCAGAGGTTATATTTTTCAGCTGGCTTTGTAGTCCCTCCAGAAGAGTTAGAGGTCGTCACCAGGGACAGGGTCTTGATGTCTACTGAGACAGCTGTACCCAAGGCCTGGACTTGGATAAGTGGAAGGAGACTATGGATGGATGGATGTTGTATGTAGGGGTGATCTACCCCAGCATTTAACATAATGCAAATGACTACAAATTAGAACAGGAGTGTCTTAATCATAACTATAGTCATAAGAAATTCGATTGGTATTTGTTAGGCTCACCAAGTTCTAAGGTAAAATATATTTTTTACACTGTCCCAACTCTCCAGTAGATTTGAAATATGTTATTGTCTTAGCTCTTGGAGCTGCATTAGAATGTGAGTGCGTGCAACTGTGCTGGTCGTATCGGATTGTAGAGGTGTGTTTGTGTGTGTGCAGCCGTGCATAAACAGCTTGGCTAATACGGGAGCAGAGGCTAGACGTCATGGATCAGGAGTGAATCCACACACGGAAACACACAGAGAGGTGGATGCAGATCAGCTCAGCTGTAGACACGGAGGGAGCAGGTTTAAAAAAACTTATTTGTATCACAGTTATAGTACCTCTAATAAAAGGTATTGCAGAAGAAGTGGAAGTCACAAAACTGGTAGCAGTGTTATTAATAATAACAGTTTATGTTTTTAACAGAAAGAGATCCCAGTGATTCCTAAGTAACTGAATTCAAGGTAAGACCATATTCATTCATTCAAATGATATTTTTCAGGGAAGATTGTATGCCTTTCTTAAAAGATCATTCGTGAAAGGCTATCAAGCATTATTTGTTTTACCTTAATCTTATTTTTAGTCTAACCTTAAATGAACATTTTCGAAAACCTTAACTGAACCTGAATCTAATCTTTCCTAACCTCAGGATGAACCTAAACTTTACCTAACCTTATCTGAACAATCCATACGCTTAATCAAACCTAAACATAATCTTTCCTAATGTTAAGCTGAACCTAATTTTGACCTGTCTTCATTTTAGGATTAATTGAACCTCATCCCAGCCTTCATGGCCTTGATTAAACCCAAGCTCTCTCTCTCCTGTGATAAGAATAAACCAATTTTAGATTTATCTTACTCTTACTAGATTTAATTTACTCTTAATTTAAATTAAGCCACATTTTTGCATACCATTTATGCAAAACTTTTATTGGAATTATTAAAAGACATAAAATCTTGACTTTCATCCAGGATCCAGGGTCCCAGTCCCCTGTAGGACTGTTACTTTGGGACTTTTGTTTTGCTTTGTTTTGGGCTTTTCATTTTCAGTAGCTGTTGTATTTAGCCTTGCTCCAACATGAGGTGCCAGTTGAGTGGTTTCCAGCCTGAGAGTTGGGCATACCAAAGAGTCATCATTCTTTTGAAGTGTTGTTCGCTCAAACCAATAAAAACTACACAACCTCATAATTTTACAATTTTATACAAGGCTATAAAAGTTCTAACTAAGAAACCACTGTGATTTCATCATTGTTATATATTCTTTTTTAATATATGTATGAAAATCAGTGATCGTATGACAATCAGATTCCTGTTTCTAGCTGACAGGAGTGACACCTGGTGTGGTCTTCTATCGCTTTAGCCCATCTGCCTCATGGTTCAAAGTGTTGTGCATTCAGAGATGCTCTTCTGCATACCTTGGTTGTAGCAAGAGGTTGTTTTAGTTACTGCTGCCTTCCTATCAGCTCAAAACAGTCTAACCTCAACTGACCTTTGACATCAACAAGGTATTTTCACTCAGCGAACAGCCATCCAGTGGATATTTTCTCTTTGTCAGACCATTCTCTGTAAACACTGAAGATGGTTGTGTGGTAAAATCCCAGATCAGCCTATCTGGCACCAACAAGTATGGCACGTAAAAAAAGTAGAGTTCAAATTAGTACAAGTAGATTTAAAGTATTTAAATCGCATTCTGCCACTGATAATGTACAATGTTTATTACAGGTACACTTAGTCGAATTGAAATAAAAAAAAACAAAACACTTAAACTGTGCTTTGATTTCATTTATTGTAAATTTTATTTTAAAAAAATTCCCCTTTGATTATCATCTTCTTTTTCCTTTACTATTTCTTTCCTTCTCCTCACTCGACTGTAAGGTGATCTGTCTCAGCCACAGTAAAGGTCAAAGGTCATGTTAGGGGAGTTTGTAACAACAGGAAGTGTGTGTGTGTAGCCAATAAATATTTAATAGAGACAAATAAGCTGTCTTGGAGGATGGATATATCACTCTGTGTGTGTGTGTGTGTGTGTGTGTGTGTGTGTGTGTGTGTGTGTGAGTAAATGATTAGGATCATTTATTGAAGAAACTGATTTATTATTGATAAGATTATGAAAGCCATTAATAACAGCAAATTGCATTATTGATTAGAGCCAATAATGCAGCTGCTGAGGTTCTGAAGCTCTTTCCAAAACAAACACATGCAGTCGTTTCTCCATTGCTTCAGAAGACATTACAACTGTCTGAAAATGAACAATAGGCTGCTCAATGTTTTTTACCTGAAAGGCTTCATATTGTGAGGTTATTATCTTACACTCAGTTAGCTTATCTTCTTATTTATTAGTCCTTTATTTATCCAGGTAAAACATCTCATTGAGATTAAAAATATCATTTCCAAGAGAGACCTGGCATCATGGCAACAAAAGTCAAAATACACATACCACATAAGTATATAACATTTAAAACAAATACAATATCCCATACCAACATGTGTAAAATATACAATAACATATCAAATTAAGAGTGACATTAAAAACAATCACACTGAGTAAAAGAGTTATTCTCTCGTTCCTTTAAGACAGACTTAAACTCTTCCAAACCAATTCTGATAATTTCAGTTCCTTCTGCAGATTATTCCAGGAAGCAGGGACAGCGTATTTAAAAGCATTTTTCTCCAATTCTGTTCTGAGTTTTGGGACAATCAATTGTATGATATTGTGAGAACGAAGGCTGTATTGGTTGTGGTTTTTACACATATAAACATATAAATAAGATGGAACCAGCCCAAGGAGAGATTTATAGATAAAGATCAACCAATGGGAGAGTCTGCGAATATGCAAAGAACAATGATGTACACGATTTCCACAGCCAGTAACAAAACGTAAAGCACAATGGTACACAGTATCCAACCTCTTTAGGTAGTGGGCAGGTGCATTCATAAAAAGCAGGTCACCATAATCCAATAAAGGTAAAAAAGTTGCATGAATCAAGTGTTTTCTCACTTGGAGGGAGAAACAGGATTGATTTCTAAAAAAGTAACCTAGTTTTAGTTTTAACTTCGACACAAGCTTTTGAATGTGAGTCTTAAATGACAAATTCTGATCTATAATGATCCCTAGATACTTGTAAGATGTGACCATTTCAATTTCAGTTCCTTGAATTGTTTTAATCTTAGGAGACGTAGCTAACAACTTTTTGCCATTTGATAATAACATGAACTTGGATTTCTCTGGATTTAACACCAACTTAAGTTGAGTTAAATGGGACTGAACATGATCAAAGGCAGACTGCAGAAATTGCAGGGTTTGTGCTACTTAAATGGTAAATGGCCTGTAAATGGCCTGTATTTATATAGCGCTTTACTTAAGGGGATGAACAATAAATAATTGTATCATCTGCATAAAGATGGAAGGCTGCATTTGACAAATTATCACAAAGGTTGTTTATGTAAAGAGAAAATAGCAATGGCCCTAATATGGAGCCCTGCGGAACTCCTTTGGATACTGAGAGAAAAGAGGAAGAAGACCCAGCAGCATGGACACACTGTTTTCTTGCTGACAAGTAATTTGAAAACCAGCTTAGAGCATTTACAGATAGACCAATATTGTTTAGTTTATTTAATAAAATAGCATGCTTAACTGTATCAAAAGCCTTTGACAAGTCAAGAAAAAGAGCAGCACAGTAATTTACACTTACTCTGATCTTCACATGGCCTAAAACTAATCTCACTCTAAGTTTTTTGTATCCAAACAATTCCTTCCTTTCAATCTGATTTTAACCTTAATTTATTAGGGTACATCTTTATCCTAATCTTAAATCAAAGCTTTGGTTAAAGCCAAGATTAATACGAACATTAAATTAAACCTAACTTGAACCACAACTTAGTGTCATGGCTACTGGACAGACTCACGCGCAGTCAGTTCTTTCTATGAGAACAAAAGGAGATTATTTATTTACAACAGGGATCACCTCAGTGCTATATATGTACAGTGAGTTGGGAGGGGGGGTCCAGGGCTCCAGGGAGA